CTGGCCACTGCTGGGAGTGGAAGGAAACTTCTCTATAAATTGCCCTTAGTTCCAAAAACTGGAAAAACCACATGAAGGACATGCTGAACCTTTGTCATTGGCTGTACTGGGGAGGGGATGGAAAGCAGGGAAGGAAGAAAATTCATATCACTAGGTTGTATGTAGGGAAATGGTGACTGGGGTGCACAGCTTTACACCTGCACAAAAGAACCCACCATAATTTGACCCACTCTGTCTGGAAAGGCTGAGGTGGTACTGAGTTCCAATGATTGGAATCACTGGCTTCTAAGAGCCATCCTTCCAGAAGAGAGCCCGGTATTGCCCTAATGGCTTCCCTGGGGAGCCCTGAAAAACCCTCATGATTCATATTTTATAACCCACAGAAACTCCAAGAGTTATGGAAAGTGACTGTAACCAGACAGCATTCTCCCCCCAAGCATCTTTAGCATGTGTCACTGTAGGATAGAAAATAGCATTTCTTGTCCATTGAGGAAGTCTCAATATAAAGGTAAGCTTCCTTTTGTCACATACCACCCCCTCCTCCACGTTCATTCCTGATTGCCATTAGGTGGAGAGAGGCAAGTGCAAACACAGCCCTTAGTGTCGCTGAGCCCTCAAAACAACCCCATGAGATAGATATTATTATTATTACCCCATGCTACAAAAGGAAACAGAGGCCCAGAGAAGTTAAGTAACTTGCCCAATACCACTCAGTTTGTAAGGGGGAAGCCAGGCTTCAGTCCAGAGCCTGTGTTTCAATTCACTACTTGTCCCACATTACCTGGCTCTTATGCATTTGCCTCCAGACTCTGAGAAAGCAACTGCGTTCTCCCTATAATGTCATTTCCTCCAGTACACACAGAATTAAGTATCAGGGAGTTAAAAGATTTTTTAAGGATAAGAGGAATTTTCTACATGCAAGGGGAGTTTAGTGCCACTTCATGGTCCATGGGCAGCTCCACTGCTGACATTCAAAGAATCTCACCATGCTGGGACTGGGCCATTGGCAAACAGCCATTTGGGCCTCTCCCACCATCAGATAACATCAAGGATGCTGGCTTTGATGTGGTCAGTCTGAAGCACAGTACAAAAGTCAAGGGAACCATTTCTAATTTTGGTGCCATCTAATGTTCAATCCCATCTGCAGGGTTGACTTGCCTTAGACAATTGGGACATAGACTATCTATAACCAATTACCTACCTTCAAAGTGGTTGTATTCACCAGACAGAACTGGCCCAACTTACAGTCAACAGAGAGGTGTACAATCCACGTGCAGGCCTATAGTACAGCATCTGTTGTATCAGGGCATTATTTATCATGACCCAATGTCATACAGTTTATAAGTGGTAAAGCCAGGATTCCGTTCTGGACAGTCTGGCTAACTGATAACTAGTGGTGGCTACAAGTACATAATGTTTAGGGCACTTTCAGGGGCTAACATTGGGGAGAAGGTGTGGAATTAATTAGAGACATTTTTAGAGCAAGTTGCAAAGATAGAAAGGAGAGGATGCAGTGCAGCTGCCACCGGAACCAAGGGGAGCGTGGCATCCCTTCGTTCGGCGCAGGTGGCAAGTCAACACCAGAGGTATCAGAGCCATCACCGACTTCAGCAAGACACTTACATCTGCGGGTCAGGACCCTCCCAGGGTCTCCCACCTGTCAGTGTGGAGACCTAGGAGTTGAAGCCCAGGGAGCAGAGTGAAGCACTTATAGTTATTCAGAGGAAAAGTGTCACCATTGTGTATCTTTTGGGTTAAGAAGAATCTATTATTTGGAAGGAATGCCTGTGGCATATGACATCCGATTTGCCCCAAGCACCAGTAACTCAGATGTCTTGGGAAGGAAGCCATCTAACGCCTCCCCATAGAAAAAACGGTAGGCGATCATAGCCTTGCAAGCAACACACTTCTCTCTGGCATCATATAAACTGCTTGGGCTCTGCCCAAGCCAAGGCAGTATGAGCCCAGACCCAAATCTCAAATTACTGCTTATTCTCTGCCCTCCGGGGGTGTCGCTCAATCACAAGTAGAATCAGATGCTGTCCTGCCAAGTGCCTGAGGAGTTTCAGCAGAGCTGTGTTTATGTCTTGATCGCTCTTCCTTGTGTGATGCCCTGTGTTTTATAAGTAGAGTCTCTAGGAATTTTCCCCATGGTTGTGCTTCATGCCTTACCACCCATTTCATGTATGGCAGCTTTACACAGTGCTGTCATTTTCCTCAGTTTCCCTCGTTGTGATATGATCAGGTATAGATTTCTGACATTGAGCATATAATGGGGTTTCAGATCCAGAAGGCAACAGTAAAATTTTTTTTTCGTAGATCTCTCTCTGAGAGACGCAGAGTAAAGCAGTGAGGACGGAGCAGGCACGCAGGCGCCCGTCTGTTCACGCGGAGCTCGTGGCCCAGGCCCAGGCCCTGCGGGGCTCGGGCGCCGGGTGGCGGTGCAGACGCCGCCAGCCGCGGCAAAGGGACGCTTTTCTTTATAACTAGACATTTGCTCATCAGTTTTACCTGTTCATAGAACCCTGAGCTTAATACTGGTTTTCTGTCCCATCATGGACCTCCCAGGTTCCTGCCATCATAAAATCACATTATTTCCCGTGTAGGGTGGTTGGGGAGCGCCTGGTCCAGTGGCTGCAGGCTGG